CAAAATTCCTGGGACGTCTCGCTTACTATGTGGCCCAGGTTCTCTGCTGGGTAAGCCTGCGCGGGGAGGCGTCCTGGGGCAAAGGGAGGTGAGAGAGGACAGGGGTCTTGGGAGCAGGGAGGAGAGAGAGGACAGGAGCCTGGGGTGCTGGAAGGAGAGAGAGGACCGGGGGCTGGGGTTCAGGGAGGAGAGAGAGGACATGGGTCCTGGGGCGCAAGGAGGAGAGGAAGAGGACAGGGTCCCAGAGAGCGGAGAGGAGAGACAGGATGGGGTCCAGGGGCGCAGGGAGGAGACAGGACAGGGGTCCATGGGAGGAGGGAGGAGAGAGCGGACTGAAGGGAGGTGTGAGGAGGCAAAACTGGGAGTTGAGAGAGCAAAAAATAGAAACATGTATCTCCTATAAAGGAACTTTACATCTGTGAACAAAAAGGACTAGGATTGTGTTTCAAGACACAAGACAGGCAGGGTAACCCTGTAGCCCCAGCTGGCCTGGAACTTAGTATGAGGACCAGGCTGGCCTTGAACTCACTGGGATCCGCCTGCCTCTCTCTTGCAAGTATTGGAACTAAAGGCGTGGGCTACCACGCCGGGCTCCTTTTTTCTACTTTTAGCAGATGGCAAGCCCTAGTGCGCTGTGTTCAAAGCTAGTCCGAAGGTCACAGCCGATAGTTCCGTAGTTAGTTGGTAAGAAAGACAAAGCAGCATCCCTGTGCAGTGTTATCCTTTCACAAGGCTGCTCAACACCAAAGAATATCCACATAGAAATGAAACAAAAAGTTCTCTCCACCTTGTGCATCACAGGGATGGAACTGTGGTCCTAAGGCGTGGCTGTTGGCGCCTTTTTCTCAAATAAACGAAATGTAATAAAGTCAAAACCTAAGCCATGTTTTGACTCCCCTTCCAGATAGAAATTGAGCAAGGAGCACCTCCTGGTGGAGTCTGCTTCTGTGTCCCCCAGGCTTTTATTTTTAAACGTTTTCCCACTGAACCTATACTGGAAATCAAATACGGAAGTGAAGAAAAGTAGGGAGAAAAAGCAAAAAAAAAAAGTGTCTAGACAGACACTATCCCTACCTAGGTTAAAACTCTTAAACTGAAAATCAGAATTTCTTTAGCCAAGTAGAAAAAGTAATCCAGCAATTATTACCCCCCCCCTTCCAGTTTGATAGACTGGCATGGAAATATTCATTCCAGAAAAATATGGGGAGCATTAGTTCCAAATGTTAACTCAAAGAAGGTGGGCTGAGCCTTTCAAGTCGGAGAACCTTCTTTCCAAAAGTGATTTGTTCATTGCTAGCGTTTTGTTGGTACTGTTTCTCTTTAAAAACAAGGATTCAGAGTCTTGGAAAGACAAACAAGGAAGGAGCAAAGCCTGTATTTTTTCTAAGAACTGGCTTATTGGAGACCTACAAGAGTTCTGTGAGGTAGAAAATTCATTAGATTATAATAATAAAGTTAAACAAACCACAATCCCAGTCCTGATACCATTAGACAATGCAATTTGAGAGGGGAAAATTAAATTTATTTAAAAGTTGCAGTCTGACAATTTTGAATTTTTTTTTTTTGCTTAAGAAAAATAGAAGTTTTGAGAACTGGGGTTCTGGGCAAGAGAACACCTGTTAGTCTGTCTCCTGATACATGGAGGCTGAAGTTTGAATTCTTTGGGGAAGAAAAGTCTATGAACATCTGTGAAGCAGGGGAGAGGGGGTTCCAAGGAACCTCATGCTTTTGAGAGCAAGTACAAGACACTACACTGAAAACCTTGAGTTTGAGTATTGTTATCATAGCCAAGAGAAAGGTTTCATTTGTCATAAGCAAATGCTATTAGGCTATGCCTTGACCGAGTAGTTTCAGTTCAATTCAGTAAACATCTATCGAGAATTGACTCTGTGCTTGGCTCTTGGGATGCAAAAAATTAAAACAAAAAACAAAACAAGAACTCTGCCCACAACTGCCTTTGGTTCCCCTGAGGAAAACATTCAATCAGTTGTTTGTTGGGAAATGCTAGTTGTTGGGCATTTATCAGGGAGACGCCATAGTTGAAAAGACATCCCTGCATCTGACATGGAAATAGTCTCATTTATGTTTCTGAAGCTATGATTAGTAACTCATATTTGGGCTTTGAAATCAACTTAGTATAACAAAAGTAGATATAAAAAAGAATTGGAATGAAAAAGGAAATGCCCTTATCTCTTGTGGTAAGGTTAAATTTTCTTAAGAAAACTGGAAACATGTACCATTGTTTGTAGATTCTTTGACAACTGGTATGTACTGCTATAACCTTTTGTTATCTGGACTAATAACTACTATTTTTATAAAAATGATTCCTGCCCAGTTTTAATTTAAACAATGTAGTTAAGTAAACCACAGAGTAACATATGACCTAGAAGAGGCACCCAGAAATAATCAGGTTTAACATTTGGTGAGCATGTCCAAGCTTGCTTAGATTTGTCACACTTAATATTTTTCCCTTAGAATTTAGTCAACATAATTTCATTGTCTCCTGATGATATTATAAGAAGTAGGAGTTCAAGTAGATTTTTTTGTTATTGCTATTGTTTGGCTGGATATTTCCTTAATGTTCTTTCTTTTTTCTATAAAACATTAAAAGTATTTCTTTATCCTACTTAAAATTTTACTCATATATGCAGTTCTCTTTTACATCTGTTTTGTTTACTGCTCGTTGCTAGCAAAGTGCCTGGCACAGGGTGAGCATAAGAAGTATATGACATGAGTGGATATCTGTACTATGTTGTGGAACAGAACACATCGCCATGTCATATTAAAACTTGCGTGAAAAAGGATAGTCTAATGAGTTATCACCAGACACCAATAGACTGAAAACATGGTATCGTATAATGTGTTGATGAGTAAAACTATGTGTGCCCTAGAGGCAGAAAAGGGTACCTGGAGATCTTAGAACTGACTTTGGAATCAGAAGTTGAAATTTATAGGACCTCTAAAGTAATTTCTACCTAGGGCTGAAGAGATGGCTCAGCAGTTAAGAGTACTTGCTTCGCTTTCAGAAGACTGGAGCTTGGTTTCCAGCATTCACATCTGGCAGCTTACATTTGCTTATAACCCCAACTCCAGGAGATCTGATACCACAACCTGTTTTTCAAGGCATGTGTACATAACATATGCATATAACATACAAGTTCCTTCAGCAAGTGAAGGAACATGGCCTATTTTTTTATATTAAAAAAATTTTTTAGAAGTATTTCATTATAGCTTTAACATATTCAATAACAATTTCCAGAGCAAAGATACATGCCTTTCAAAAGTGGTTATAAAATTTTTAGGTTTACAGTTGAATTAATAAACTTATACAATATTGAACTCAGTATAAACCTTGTAAGACATAAAATTGAATGAGTTTTTAACCTTAAAAAAGATCTCCATTTCATTTTAAAATATACTGTTTCTTATAGAAAGACTCATTGTTTTTGCTAATAACACTTAGATGTTGGCACATGCATCTCTAATCTGTGTGTATCTGATTATTACTAGTCATGGTCGGTTGTATTCGGATCCTTCGCACCTGTGTATGGCTATAAAGTCATCAGGTAGATTTCAGTGGTAATGTTTATCACCTCTACTACTTAACATTATGTAAATTTTTATGCTTCCTCTTTAAATATAACTCATTTTTTAAATTTGTTGATTTTTTGTGTGTATATCACACAGAACATCCCAAACAATCTTATTCATCTATATACCCACTTCCCAGATGGCACCCTCCCATAGCCCACCCCCAACACACTAGAGCCCTTTTACTCTGATATCCTTGCTACTGTCTTCTGTGTTGTCAGCACCCCCAGCCATTCCCCAGTACTTGTCCATCTGGTGAATCTAGTCAGCCTGTCTAGAGGTCTTTGTTTTAGGATGGTCAGCGGAACATGGCCTATTTCTAAAAGTTAAATGATTTGATTTGTGGAGTTTGTGACTCATGAGGCAGAAAGCAGTTCATGGAAAATGAGACTGGTCAGGTTTCTGGGACCAGGGCATGGTGGGCTTCTGTGATTATGTAGCAGTTTGAGCATTTACTGTGTGCTATGGTATGAAGGATGTGAGGGTGAGAGGAATCGCTGGTTCCTGACCTTAAGAAGCTTAATCTAAGGACATTGTGGTCAAATACAGTGCACGTTGTCCTTGATCTTGGAGAGCTCCAAAGAAAGTGCTCTCTCTTTCCAATCTGGAAAAGAAGAACAAAGATGAGCCCAAAGTATTGCTTTAAAATTTTATTTACTTATTTTATTTATTTTTATTTTATGTATACAAGTGTTTTGCTTACATGTATGTAGTGTCCCTAAGTCATGTAATGCCTGCAGAGGCCAGAAGAGGTCATTGGGTCCCCTGGAACTGGAATTACGAATCTGAGTATTGAGAAACCCAGGCCCTCTGCAAGAGCAGCCAGTGCTCTTAACCTTTGAGCCATTTCTCCAGCTCTTATTTATTTTTGAGACAAGGTCTTACTACGTATCACTGGCTGGCCTGGAACTAGCTATGTAGACCAGGCTGGACTTGAATTCACAGAGATTCGCTCCCCTCTGCCTTATGGATGCTACTATATATATATATATTTTGATACAGGTTCTTGCTATGTAGTCCATGCTGCCCTTAAATTCATGATGATTCTCCTGCCTCAGACTCTTGAGTGCTATGATTACAGACATGCACATCAGTCCCATCTTGAAGTATCACTTTTTTGAGGTTAAGGTTTGTTCTAAGATTCAACTAGTCCTGCTGACTTCCTGAATTAGGCAGACTTACCTCCTTGAGAAGGGGTTGTAATGTTGTTCTCTGAGGGCAGCTAGCTTCTAAGAAGGTGTGAGTCTAAGAAGTTCTCCTTCTGTGCAATGATTCTCTGAGGGTTTATCAGGAGATAAACCATATCTACAGCCTCCAAGTGACTAAGAGCAGAAAGGGCTGGAGTTCCATAAACTGAGCTCCACATAAGAGAAAGACACCAAGACTGGGGAAGGAACACATCCACCTTGTGGGAACTGTGTAATCTTACGAGTATTTTTGGGAGTGTGTGTATCTAAGCTGGGACCTGCGCTGAGTAGAAGTTAGCTAAGAGGAGCCAAGAGAAGAAGTTCTAGGCAAGAGACTGTTCTGTGTAGGCTCAGAATAGAGGCGATTTGGAGGAATGTGAGGGAGCAGGTGGTGAAAACCAGGTTAATGAGAGAAGCCTGTGGCTCACATGGAAGAGTTAGTTTTCTCCTGAAGGCAGGGGAATGGGGGCAAGAGTGGAGGCCAATGGCCCACTCTCGGTAAGAGGTGACATGATGTTAGATAACCAATGGCCACAGATGTAGAGAGACTAGGAGTAGAGTGGTGTTAGGAGGTACACTGAGAGGCCTTGCTGAATGGCCAAAGGTGGGAGTTAAGGGTCAGAAAGGAAGATTGGGTTGCTCTGAGATGATAAGATGCCATCAACATTGTGGGCAGGAAGGTGATCTCATCTAGGTGACACTCGAAAAAGGGAGGCTAGAAGTCAGAGCAAAAGGCATGAAGCAAAGGCAATATTGATTACTGAGCACTAGTGATCTGGACTGGAAGGTTTGAATGTGTGGTAATGTTGAAGCCCAGTTTCTGTCTTTGGCCTCTCAGCAACCCACAATGCCAGTCTCTGAGAGGGCACTGAAGGATGGGCAGGAGTTAAGTGATGTCACTCTCATGTCAGCATACTTTGGAACTCCTAACCTGACAGGTAGGTAACTAAGGTACCTAGGTAGAGATGTGGTATTAATTTTTTCTGGCAGTGCTTGGGGGAGGCGACAGAGCTCTATGAGCTGGGTTTGAATGACGGTGCTTGGGAGCAATTCATGAAAGAAAAAGAGGTAGTAAACAGTTTGCATTCGAGGGACTTAGCACTCTTTACCTACATGTCAGTTGCAAGGGAAATGAAGCAGGGGAGACTTAGCTGAGGTGTGAGGCCCACTTATCTACTTCATGCAGCTCTGGGAGCCATTGGAGAGTCCTTGGGAGAAAATAGCTTGGTCCTGTTTTTAGATTTCTGGAGAGCCTCTCTGAGGATGGGTCAGGGTGTGGAGACACTGAAGGCTGGAGACGCAGAAGTAACACAGAGTAGTTATTTGTGAATGACATGAGATATGGGTCTTAGAAATTGGGCAGTGGAGAGAGAAGAGAGTCCACCCTGAAAACAGTGATACAGTGGTGCACTTTTGCAGTTGCAGGCAGGATGAAATGGCATTGCTGTTTACCTTTTGCTCTAATGTTTTTCTTGCTGCTTGAAAACTGTTTCCTGTTGTGGCTTACATATACCTGCAAATTCCTCAGTCACTCCAAGTGCTGCAGTGACCACCTAGCAATACCCTATATCCATTCCATGCCCCCCCTTAGCATATACCGATGTTTAATCTACTAGAATATCACTTAATTTACTTATTCCTGGTTCCCTTCAAATATAGTCTTGTCGAGGGGGGGCAATACGGTGTCCCCTGCTATATTGCCGTTGCCTAGAATAGTACCTGGGGTATAGTAGATGCTCAATAAAAGCCTGCCGAAAATAAATGTGCAAATGAATTTAAACTTAATTCCAATGTCTTGTTTCTGTCTAATACTTCTGCACATAAGCAGATTCTGAAATCCAAACAAACCTTTTGCAAGAACAGAGGGTCTGATTTTTGGTTCAATAATGAAAGTGGTGTTACTCTTGGCTAATGGAATAGAGAATCAGTAAGAAATGTCTCAAAGGCAGACAGGAATGGAGACCCCAGTGGACTATCTCAGATTGCTTCCTAATTTATCTCTGATTTCATCTTCCTTTACTTTGCAGAATCGGGAAGCATCAGTTTGGTCTACATCTAACAGCAGATAGATAAGAATTGTAACAGCAGGGGAAAGTATTCTCTGTAGCACAGAGTATACCTAGTCTTTCAAGGACTCAGGTTCACTGCTACGAAATGTATCATTACTCAGAAATGTAATTTCTGTCTTGCTCCTGGCAACTGCATGATTCAGCCTAGCCTTTGGAGCTTTGTAGTCCAGCGATGTGTTTTCATTTATAGTCACATAGCTTCACCTTTCAGTTGCTATGGCAACAAGCTCTGTGTTCCACAGAAGCTCAGATCCAGTCAACTCTGTGAAGTGCCCTGCTTTAAGTTATGGAATGGGTAGACACGCTCAGGCAATACACACAGACACAGAGCATGTGCTTAGCCGGACCAGGAAGAGTCAGGGGTGTGCTAGAGTTTGGACAGGTCAGTTCTGGAAGTTTGTTGGGTTACTGCTGGCATTTGGGGTGCTGAGACAGTTCTCTCTCTACATGATTCTTGCTTTTTGTATTGGAACATGCAGTAGAACTGGTCCTGTGTTTCTAAGTGCCTCCTGATAAGAACCACATATACTATGCTGAAATGGCAGTGTCTAGATACTAAAAAGAATGCATATCTGGCATAGGCAATATGTATGTATTCCAAAGGATGATTTGAAATGTGTATATCCTTACGCTCCCAGTACTTCCTGTACATGGAACTTCAGAAAGTTATCTATGGAGCAAAAAGCAGAACAAAACAAATAAAAATCCCTTCTTCCAAAACATCCCAAATTTGACGCCCCCCCCCCTTTTTATTGATTCTTGGGTTTTGTTCAAATTAGGGGTCATCTATTCAAATGCTTCCAACGCTGAAGGCCCTGTAAATGAAGGAGGCTGTCCAGTGGAAAGGACTCACCTGGCCCCTATGAGTGAAGGCTGGACAGATCTCAGAACTTATCTCAAGCATGTGAGCATGGTTCAGGGTTGTACTTGGTCATGTGGAAAGTGGACCCAGGTAGTGGTGGGGCTTCTGAGTTTTATGTGAATGCTTTGATATCTTAATGTTGACTCAAAGTTTCAAGATATTTGGCTAGATTCATAAAACACATTTGGCCAAATACCACCGATGTACATACATTTAAATTAATCTAGATAGTTTAGGTGAGCAGCAATTCTTAAATAGTTTAAACATAAATCTCACTGACTGACAATTTTTAATCCCTTAGGGAAGGGAAAAGACTTTTCAGAATCACCATTTGAGGACAAATGTGATCATCTCTCTTTAGTGGTGACAAGTTAGGAATACGCGATGGAGGTGGATAAGTATGGAGGTGGAAGGGGGTGAGAGCCAGGCTTCTTGAGGCAGATTAAGAGATCAACACTAAGTATGTTGGTATTTCCAAAATTGGAAGGCTTTAGAAAGTTTTAAAAAGTATAGGTCACTTCACTAAAGGTCTACAAAGAAATCTACCCCTATAAGAAGAGTAGTATTTCTATTTTGAAAAACAAAATCTTTCTCCTAAACATCTCCTAAAGCAAGATTTGAAGATCATTCAAAGCTTCCTTATGTTATATCCACTTTTATAATTCAGAAGAAAGACAGGTACAGTTTTGGGTGATTCAGATTTCTTTGTAGAAACAGAGGCTTGAATGAAATAAGATCCCATGAGATCCCATCACCTCTGTGGGTCCTCATAAACAATTTATCATTAGGCAAAGAGATGGCTGAATTTATGTTCTCACATATGCTATGAATTGACACATATAATGTGAATTAAAATAGCAAGTCAAGGTTTCTACTCTCAGTGGTAGGAAAGGAAATAAGACTAGTATTGATTAAATTAAATAAAGTTGGTAAGGCCTAGGTAGTAATCAGTTTCATTAACACAGTAGAAATTGTTAATATTAAATGTGATATTTTTACCTTTATGTGTTTCCTTTGCCAGTTAGAGGATTGATAAAATGTTTTAAAATTCATTTAAAAAGTTTCTATGTAAATATTTAATCATCTTTCACAAAACCTCATATTTCCTATACAAATTAATACTAAATAAATAAAGTTCATGGCAGAGCCTTTGGAACATAAAAGTATACTTTTTCATTATTCTTAGGTAGTGACAAATTTACCTGCCTACTCGTGCAAACTTCCTGATTCATCATCCTAATGGAGCAGTTCCGGAGGTGGTTCTGCAGTGTTAAGTAAATCTGCTGTTTATGAAGGAAAAGATTATTGAAGGGTGCCTGGATTATTGTGCTGTGGCTGAAGGATACAGAGGGAAAAACAGCTTTGTCAGTTGATGCTAAAAGACATGATGAAGAGTGAGACATAACCAGATCTGCACATTTGCCTTTCAATAATAATTTTTCATGATTATGAAAACAAGTCACACTTATTGGGTAGATTTTGAAAATACTTAAAAGTAACCAAACAGAAAAATCATATATAATTCCATCACTTAGAATAACAAAAGTACAGGAGAGACGCTGATGCCAGATGGATCCTGGATTTTAGTCATGCTGCCTTTACCAGTTATTATTACTTTTATTTAAGATTTATTATTAAAATTTTTTATTTGCGTGTGTGTGTGTGTGTGTGTGTGTGTGTGTGTGTGTGTGTGTGTGTGTATGCATGCCGTGTGTTGGGGGTGCACGGAGAGTCCAAAAGAAGGCATCAGAGTCCCCAGAGATGGAGCTATAGGAAAGCAATTGTAAGCTGCCTGTTATGGATGCCGGGGCCCCAGCTCCTGTCCTCTGGAAGAGCAGTAGCTTTCTATTGCTCTGATAAAATACTCAGACCAAAAACAACTTATGGAAGAAAGGGTTTATTGCATCTTACACTGCCAAGTGACAATCAGTGTTTGAGGAAAGTCAGACAGGAACTCAAGGCAAGACCCTGGAGCTGAAGTAGAAATCATAGGGGAACACTGCTTGCTGGCTTGCTCCTCTGGTCTGTGCTCAGCCTGCTTTCTTATATAACCCAGGAACACCTGCCCAAGGGTGGCCTCACCCACAGTGAGATGGGCCTACCCACATCATTCAACAATTAAGAAAATGCCCCATAGACATGCCCATAGGCCAATCTGACAGATGGAAGTCCCGAATTGAGGTAACCTCTTCCTAGGCTTGTTAGGTTGACAACCAATGCCAACTATGACAAGCAGCAAGTGCTCTTAACCCCTGAGCCATCTCCAGTCCCCTTATAGCATTATTTAAAAAGTAGAATACTTGACCTTTTGGTGCTTCAATTTCCTCATCTACAACACGAGACTGACAAGAATTTATATTATAATAATATTGTGAGAAAAGTCTGTAGGTGACACTGTCATATAATAAATAGTTTACTACTTACTATTATTTCTTTCTAGTCGTTTTTCTAAATATATTTATTGAAACAAGGTTACCTCAAACTTGCTATGTATTCAAGGGATGATCTTGAACTTTGATCCGCATGCTTCCATCTCTCCAGTGCTGGGATTACAAATGTGTGCTACTACACCTAACTTTCTGTGCAGTGCTGGGGATTGAAGTAAACCGAACTAAATACCTACCCTTAAACATTTATTTTTATTTGCAGTTAAGAACACACTGAATATATTTTTGGGACTGGGAAGATGGCTCAATGGTTAAGAGCACTGGCTGCTTTTGCAGAGGACCTGGGTTTGATCCCAAGCACCCACATGACAGCTAACAACTCTCCGTAACTCCAGTTCCAGGGGATATTATGCCCTCTTCTGACCCATGAACACTTTTTTGTATAATTTCTGAACAGCCTTATCTTAAGTATTAACCACAATTCTAATTATTTCTTTGGGGTGAATTTGTAGATATTCTGTATCAATAGACAGTGTCTTATGCTGCTTATAGAAATACTCCAGCAGGAAATTATAGATTCTGGAGCTTTGATCTTTTAACAATGACCTAATGGGTGAATGTTGCATACTTTCATGGTGTAATGATTATGCTTAACAGAAGCTCAGAGGATAAGTAGGCAACATACAAGGGTGTCACAGGAGAAGCTCCAGAGCTTGTAAGCTAAAGTTTAAATTTGTCCTTCAACTTTGTCAGTGTTTATAACCTCTCTGAGCCTTTCCTATACAGTAGGGTAAAAACAATACCTATTTCATGCGGCTGTGGTGTTGAGTTTGTTTTCTAACCTGGTCATGGTAACCACTAAATGAATGTTAATTCTTACTGTTTGCTTTGTTATACACTTAAAGTTTGTTTTTATAATTAAAATGTGAGTGAATAGCAGTGATTTCACAAGGAATTGGTTATAAACTATATAAAACTGAGAAAAAGGAATACATTTTAGTTTAAGATGAATTATTTGCTTTTCATTTTAAATATAGGAGGAATAATTTATCTGTTCTCTTTTTTTATTTAGCTAGAAGAAATCATAAGAAGAGGCATTTTAATTAACTTTGTAAAGAATTTAAAAACAATTTTCTATAGTAATTAAAAACCAATAGTTTCATTTTCTTTATATGTCTAGGCTGATTTTAAACTAGTGATACTCCTGCCTTAGCCTCCTGAATGGTGGGGATTACTGGTGTTCACACTATATGTGGCTAAAATTATTCTTTTATTTTTTTAAAAAATATTTATTTTTATTTTATGTGTATGAGTGTATTGCCTGTGAGCAGGTAAGTGCACCCATGTAATGCAATGCCCGTGGAAGACAAAAGAGGGCATCAGATTCCCCTGGAGCTGGAGTTACAGATGGTGTTAGCCACCATGTGGGTGCTGGTATTCAAACCCCTCAAATTATTCTTTTCAAATATTTAATTAAAAATTTTTAAAAAAAGAATAAGTTTTTTTGAGGGCATATTTGGAGTATTGAAACAGGGTCTCAAGTAACACATGCTGG